GAGTTTCTTACAATATTTAATATAAGAACCACTATTCTGTTGAAGGATATGAGTCATCAGTGTGCTAAATGGGTTAATTAAGCAATATGTAATGACTTGGTATTGTGAATGATAACATTGGTAGCTAGTTATTTAGCTACCAATGTTATCATTCATAACTCAGCTAGCTCACTCAACACATTTCCAGTGAGTTTTTAGCTGTGTGCAATTTGGACAACGCTTTCGTGTTGAAGTTCACAAGTTGTTCTCTTACCAAGTTTTAAACCCATGTCAATTCAAACAAAAATATTGAAGCTGAGTTTAGCCAACAAAACAAATTGGGTAATCTTGGAATAAGATATTTGTTTAAAATAAGTACTTAAATTAAATATGTTTGCTACAATAAGTCATCAACGCAAACACACTTGGATTGGGCAGCACTCTGAAACACATGGTTAATATTATAATTTCCAACAAAACGACATGGTTAGTGTAGGTTAAGATCATTGTTTGGGTTAAACATTTGAACATTAAGTGATGTATTTAGGTCAAGTAGCAAACGTAAACATTGTGAATTCAAACAAAACTTCTTGGTTAAGTTAAGGCATTAAAACTACTTGGTTAGATGTTAGAAAATATCATGTTTTTTGATTAAAATAAGTAATTTATCTCGGTAAATTAAGCAATCAACGTGAAGCCTTATATACGGACCGTATTGACGCTCAACAGCAGAAACACACAGTTAACATTTCAAACTAAACGACTTGGTTTGGTTTACGAAAAGATTGATGTTAAGGTTAAAATAAGTAGGTTAGTTATGAAAATTAAGTTACGCTTAGCTGTTGGTTGACTTTTAGATATGAGACACGAACAGCCGTCTCCTGAGTTAAAGCCTTGTGTAAGACTTCCAGAGATCTTGTTTGGAGTGCTTATGCGTGACAGATACAATGAAAAACATATATTGTAATTCGAATGATAACAAACCAAATGAAAATGGGTTTTATGGCCAAAATACAGCAGCAAAAAGAAAGGAATGAAGTATCAAAATTCAGAGGTAAACACAAAACAGGTTAAAAAGACTCAGTGCCATGTGCGTGAAACTTATAGTTTTTTATTATTAATACTCAACACTTCATTTTGTTCATCATGTACAAAGAGAAAGAATAGTCTTATTTGAGCACTTATAATCGTAGATATCAGTATTATTCTTATTAGAAAGTACCTTAATGATGTTTTTTGCAATTTGTCATGACGTGGTTAATTTTGTTATTGAGATTACGTTTCCATACAAAAAAACAAGGTAAATGTCCCCCCCCCCCCTCAATATTCAGTATTTACACAACCTGTACAATTATTTGTTTTTGTGTCGTTCTGTTCATATGGTGTAAAAATGTGGGGGATTTATCTCAAAGAAACGGGCCACAAAAAGAGAAAAAGAATGGCCGAGAATAATATTATGTATATCATTAAGTATATGTTACATTTGTCAACCCACAGTAAATGTAATCATGTAGTTTGTGTGTTCACATTTGGTGGCAACCCCTTATATGTCATTCAGGTAAAGCAATCTGTATAAATGACGACGATGGAAAATAGCAATATATTAACAAACAAACAAAACTGTACACAATTTAATAGAAAATTCTGTATGCATCAATATAAAGCGATATCAATACATATGAACACAAGTACACACAGGTTTAAAATATGCATTGAATTAGGGTTGAAATCATAAGCAGCTAAAATACATGGACCTTCACACAATCATGTAATATCACAGTATAATTCTTGGATTAAGAAAAAAAAAAACAAGCCGGTGGGATAAGCAAATTAAAATGTTAGAAATTTCAAATAACTTCCCTCCAAAAACACATAAAATGTTCACGAGTCAGTTTAACCGGTACATCGATCCCTGCAGCTGACCATTTCCTGCTCTTATTTGGTCCCGTGTGTCAGTATCGCTGAGGATGATCCCTCCCTACTTTTAATCGCCATTTTTTTCCTTGCGTTGTAAAAATGTGACACAGTGTTTTGCTCTACACGACCTCCCTTTTTTTTTCGTTGAACAAATGCGTTGTGGCATGTTCGTGTGCAGAAGACCCAGGAGGGAAATAAAGATTTACTCTGCATCACGACCCCGACCTGCACTATCTGGCTTTAGAGCGGAGCAGCTGGAGGTGGTAAAGGCCTGATGATAGCATGTTTACCACAGTGTCAGGTAAATATCACTCGCCCTTGAAACGCATGGAAAACAAAAACCCAGGAAGTGATGACTTGGCACGTACAGTGAGGTCTTTTCACTGTTTGGTCATCCTGTTTATTGCAAATAAGGAAAAATATGTAGGAGTTTACGTGGATTCATTTGTCACTTTTCAATCAACCCTGTAGACATGAAAGCAGTTGAGGAGAAAAACAAGAGAGATGGATTCCTTCTCTCCGGGTCCGGGTGACGATTAAAAAGACTTATTGGTATAAGTAGCGTACAGAAGAAGAGCGGGGGGGGAATAAGTCCTACCAAAAATTGCATATACAACAAATTACAAATGATATATCCCGTCTCGTACTGAGAGAACAAGCACGGCACAAGTATAAATAAGAATCCAACGCTTCTCAAGTGTTTTCATCTGTCAAATAATACAGTTTAGTAAAATGTGAGCTGAAATATATTCCCCTGAAGCAGAAGTCTACATGAAATGACAAATGTTGCACCTTTTAATTAATAAGGGGTTGCACAAATGCATTCAATAGGGAATGGGAATGTGGCGTCGCTAACGGCAAGTCGTCCATCTTTGGAGGATACCGGCGAATGCAACTTATTGACTTAACCTGTAGTACGGCGAGCAAAGGAGGTTAACTTGTTCACTTTCTAAAACATGCTCGGTAGGCACTGTTATGTCACTGTAACAGCCACTCCTATGATCAATGAACAAAACAAAAACAAGGACCATGTGATTAGATTTTATTCCTTTAAAAGGCAGAGGAGGGAGACATCAGCAAGAGGCGCTGAATTGTGTTCTTCTGAACTACAGGAACACAAACCACTACACTGGGAATATGATTTATAACATAACATATAGCAGTATACTTGCATACACCACAAGATTACTTATGCATGATAAGCCGGCGTTTTGTAGCATAACATTAGTTGTCTTCGGATGACTATCGTTTTCAATAAACCTGTAGATTTGAAGGTCCGGTATCAACCTGTTTGTAAACTTGACATGGGCCTGTAAATATTTAATATTCTGAATTTTCCGTCAGCTTTAGACACTCACTCCAAACACCAGAGAGGACCGACATCAATAACATTGATTGGTTCATTCTTCTCTTAATTCATAAGTACAGATGGCATTAATTAACTTTATTTTGTAAAATAACGCTCCTATAGTTTGTATTTGTAGGTCGTTAATATTTCACGCATACTTTATTCATTTTGGATTAAAAAAAACGCTGACAGGTGACCAGGAAACGCTGATATACAGTATCTTGGCGGCTGCTGTTGTTGCTACGGACGCTATCCTCCAAAGATGGCCCCAGAATGCACCCTGGTTCCCATTCCCTATTGGGTTCTCAATACTCAATCTTGTTTTTTCGCATTAATATTGTGCTGAAAGACTGCAGCGTTCAATGTGTGTGTGTGTTGATACGTGTGTGTGTGTATGTTCTTTACCACAGTGATGTCTATCCCACACAGAAAGAGAGGGAACAGGATAGGCCGGGGGCCGACAATGGCTCTAAATTCTGTGCAATCACCATCAGAGCCCAGGTTAAAAAAAAAAAAAAAAAAACGGGCAACAAAAACACAAGTATTTGTTTTTAACTGCCTAAAAATGAAGGATCACAATATACTGCCTCTATATGCAAATATCATCTATGTATACATGTAATATTGTATTCCATAAATGTGTAGATAATTGAATTTATCTCAAAAAGCATGAAGAAGAGCTTACCTTAAAAAGAGAGAATCTAACACAATTCAAGGGAAACTTAGCAAAGACTCCTAAAACTAAACTTTCCCCTTTTTATCACCAAACGTCTACACCTACAGTAAAGTATCCTCGATTTCCAACACTTTAGTGAAAATATGAAAGAAAGCATAATTCTTAACATAATCAGTATACTCATTGGTAAACTATTATAATTAAATAACATGAGATTCAAAGAAAAAAGAGGTTCAATTATATCACTTATGATTAGTAATATTTGTGTCTTAACTATATTTTGCATATTTTTATTTGTGTAATTTTCCAGTTTTTTTAAAGAGTTTTTTATCCTGGTTTTATTTCTTAAATTGCTGTAAAACATATTGAAAGTTACATCCTGTCTGTCTGTTTACTGTACAAAGTGAAAAGAGTATTTTAAATAGATTATTTACAAGGAAAAAGATTGAAACGTACAAATGCTGACGCTGATTGATGCCCACACACCGAGGTCTCTCTCGTCTGCTCCGTCTTATTTCCTCGTCGTTTTTATCCCGTTATCCTTCTTTCAAACCGTCTCGCTGACAATAGTTGAAACCTGAACTTTCAAAAATGTGTGCGTATAAAAATTCCAGAGATCCCAATCTATTTATTAGGAGAGTCATGGTGGAGGGGGGGTAAGATCTGTTTGATTTAAGGCTAACTCGATCGGTCTCATTTCGTCCGTGTTATCTGTGGAGCAAGGGGTTGAACCTATGAGCAGTTATCAGTCGCGAGAAAAAACAGCTGTTATCATTCAATCGTGATTTCCCACACACACACACACACACACACACACACACACACACACACACACAACACACAACACAACACACACACTACACACACACACACACACACACACACACACACCAAACCTCTTACATTGATGCATTTAGATTAGGGGTTAAAAGATGACCAATAGATCCCTCTGCGCAATCTTCCCACAGCCCTTTAACTTCTGACACCGCCAGCTAATCGAAGATCAAACCTTTAAATACAGGCTTCTTTATTCTGTACAGTAATGTGATGAGTCATCATCAGACAGCTCCAGGTGGGAAGGGGGGGGATGATAAGGCATGTCTACTGAGTGCCTGAACCTACACTGAGTAAAAAGGTCCTGTGCAATAAATGAGGCCTCTCAAGCGAGAAAAAAAGGACGATATCTACATCAAGATTTCGCAAGATGGCCGTCTTCCGGTACGCCTCAAATAGACACCTTCCTCAGCTCGAGCTTTAACGGGCATCATTGTCGCAGGAACACATCTCCTACACGTTGTTTTGTTTCGCCAACATAACAGTGCATATATTAATCACACACAATGTACAAACAAAGCTTTCTGTAAGTGGAAAGTAACGCCTTCAACGAGATACCGGTTGAGAGGCCCAAACAAAGAAATAAAGAAAGAGTGCCCGGTGACTGTTATCATGTAACCTGAATAAAATAAGTGGTCTAAAGGCTGCCGTGTTGTGAAGTGAGACGCTATCCGTGACATCCTGAATGCTTTTTCTACGTAAAGCGCTGCTCAAACTCGCCGTATGAAATATTTGTTTACGAAGTTATAAAACGTCTCTTGGAATGGAAACCATCGGCTGCAGCAGCGCCTCGAGCCTGATGTCAATTTTCACTGCAGTTTTTTTTGGCTCATACACGAAAAGAGATCAGCCTGAAAAACATGCCGGTCCGTCCCTGGTTTGAACCGGAGGACACATCCACTGGAGACCATTAAGGCACGTCCTTCCTCTCGGTGTCTTCAGCTTCGGGACGTCGTTCACAGTAACACAAGTTGTGTTTTAAGTGTGTGTGATTTGTAATGTCTTGAAAACATCAAATGAAGGATCTGTCAGCTCTAAACGTGTCCAGTCATTTTCACAAGGAGCAAATCAACGTATGAGCATGGCGTAAAAACAGAATTAAAAAGAAGTTCTCAGTCTTTCTGGCTTGTTGGTTGAACTTAACAACCGTCCTGCTTGCACACAGGATTACAACTACAGATACTAAAACAGTAGTGAAATATTATACCAACAAAACATAAAACAAGAAAAAACTTATCGTAAGCAGTGTTATCATAATCAGCACTAACATCTTTGTTATTCACAATATTATTATTGTTGTTCTTATACCCTGTTTTTTTCTATAAGAATATCTTATTATCATTCATGATTGTATTTCTCATAGCAAACAAGATCAGCTCTTTTGGCGTCAGAGATGAGGAGGAGGAGGAGGAGGGTTGGGGGTGAAGAGATAAAGGACCGCAGCTCGGGGGTAAAACGTGAAAATGTCTCCAGGGGCAGATGGGCAGCTCGTTTCTCGCAGTTTTTCCTCAAGAGCACTCAGCGGGAGATCTCTCAGACAGCCATCGCACCAGACAGTCCAATATCAAACTGAGGCGAAGTGTCACCTCTCTAAGAACATCGACTTCTGCCTCATGAAATGACAGGCTTGGATTTGAGTGCGATGTTAAGGGGAATGTTGATTGACTGTGTTTTGGACATAAAAGTAGCTTTGCCCGTTACTGAGAGAGAGGGTTAGGGTCCCACAGCTCCACAGGGTGTCCGGTGTTTTACCCAGATTTGACCCTTTTCCGTTTCACAGCTCTCTCCCCTTTCACCGTGCTGTCCCAATATGGGGCTAGAGTTGCAGTGTGTTGGACAGTGTCTGTAAAATCATCCCTGATCTCCGAACACAACACGCCTCGATTTCCTCCCTTCCTCCTCCCCTCGCCCATCGTCCACTCCTAACTCGCCAATTGTCGATCTCACACGTCAGACTCAATGCTGGACAGTTTCTCGTACACATGGCCATTGCTTCCATTGAAGGGACGCGGGGGGCCGACCCCCAGCATGGAGCCGTGGTGGTTCATCCCGCCGAGGCTGAGCTCTTTTGGGAACCGGGGCGTCGCGTTGGACATCACCCCGGCCGTGGCGGACGCCGGCAGATATGACGTCGTGCTCATCTGGCTCCTGAAGTCACTTCGGCTTGGTTTGGGAACTTGCTGCTGCTGCTGCTGCTGCTGCTGCTGCTGCTGCTTCTTCATGTAATATTGTTTGGCTCCGTGCATCAGACACTGGTCGTCGCCAAAGGTGGGTATAAAGGGGTTTTGGTTGACCCTGTCTGGGTAAAGAGATTTGGATAAAGAGAACCCTCCCCCGCCTCCTCCTTCCATCAGAGACCTGTCCCTGTCTCGCATGTCTCTCTCTCCGATGGAGCGGCGGTGAAGGCCGTCGCCTCTGAACAAACCGAACGGTGACCCGGGTCGTTTGCGAGCCTCGTAAAACAACGGGTCCCTGTCTCGTTCCCGTTCTCGCTCCGAGCCCCCGTGGCGCTCGAATATGTGTGCGAAGGGGCTGGTGCCCTCCATGTAGCGCTCTTTCTCCTTCAAGCTAACGCTCCTGGGTGGGGGCAGCATCCCTCCCATAACTTGGCTCCCCATTCCCCCCCCAACACCTCCCAGACCCATTAAACTGCCCATCCCGCCCGACTCCTCTTTCTGAAGGTCAACAAAAGCGTCGTACGAGTGCTGCCGCCTCAGTGGTTTCCCGAGTCCTCCGCTCTTCCTCCTCTGCTGGCCCTGAGATTGAGGGCCCGGGCCCATGACTCCACCTCCCCCACCAACGCCATTCCCTCCCCCCATCTGTTCCAAGAGGTGGTTGTTGTCCTCGCTGATATCGTAGAGGTTTCCTGTCTTTTTACAACCCTCGCAGCGCATGCAGGTCGCAGAGCTTGGGCGGCTGTTACCTCCGCCTCCCGACGTCCCACAGCTCATACCACCACCGTACACACCGCCGTGCATCGACATCTGCTTGCCTCCCCCGCTAGCCCGACAGTTCCTGCACTCCCACTCTCCCCCTGCCAGCCCAGATCCTCCCACACCACTCTTTAAATCTGACTTTTTGGGTTTGCTTTGCTTAAGAAAGTCATCCACTGGAACCAGGGTGGTGCAGTTGCCTCCATCTCTACTCCCAGGGCCTTCCGTCAGGTCCACGTGTTCCCACTGAGGAACGCCCTCTTTGGGCCGAAACTGGTCCAAATAGAAATCCCTAACGCTTTCCTTCTCTCTGAACATGTAGTTCCCGTCGCTGTTCCCACTTAAGCCTCTCTTCCGCTCTGGGGGCAGCAGCGGCGGGGAGGCGGAGCGGTGGCCGTGGTAGTGATGGTGGCTGATGTGGTAGGGTTTCCTCCGGTAGCCCAGCTCGATCTCGTCCAGCTCCCGTCTGGACTTGGCAGAGGCCGGCCTTTTTTTCAGGCTATCGCGGTACTGTTTGCGTTTCTTGGCGTTACCTTCCAGGTTTCCGTAAGTCACCGTGTGCGTGGATATATCCGAGACGTCCGACCGTCGATCCATATTCCCATCGTCGTCTCCTCTACCTCCGCAGTATCCGTGCCCGGGGATAAACGTGGCGCTTGAGGCGCCTCCCTTAAAGGAAAACTTCCCGTAAAGGTCCGGCAAGCCTCCCTTAAAGCTCTGCCCTGAGGGAGGAGTTTGTCCGGACAGCAAATCAAACTTGCTCATGTTCCTGTGGGTCAATGCCGAGCAGGGCTGGGTGGTGAAAATAGGCGCCACCCCTCCTCCAATGCTCTCACAATCAAACATCCCCCCTTCCAGAGAACTTGCGCTACCCAAGCTATGAGGCCTGGGCGGCGGCGGTCCGCTGAGCCCTAGCGTCGAGCCGTGGTGGTGCAGGTAGTGATCCTGGTACAGATTGCTGTCCTTCAGGTGGAGGTTACCAAACGTCCTCTCCACCTCGCTGATGTAGTCGCTGAACATGTTGTCTTCCGGTGGGTACGACGGCTTGCAGTCTGAGTGTCCCGCCAAGCTGCGGCGGTGTTCGGAGATGTCGTAGACGGAAGATTCGCGGCGGATGAAGTCCAGCGCGCTGTGGGGCGATCCGTTCACTCCGGACAGGGACGCCATGTTCTTGGCGGTTCGTAGGAGGCGCATGATGTTGGAGTGGGTGTTGTTCATGGTGGCGGATGGGGAGTTCAACGCCGAGCTGTTGCTCTTCTCCTCGATCTGCACCCCGTGGATGCAGCTCCAGATGCCCTGTGGGGAAACACAGGCAAGAGGAAGCATTAGGGACGGAACATTCTGTAAATAGTGTCCCAATATTGTATTATAACGGCACAAGACGTGGATGTGACGCGTTTCTTTGTGCATGTAAATGGTCTGTTAGACCTTCCACATGCTCTATGGTCAGTGTAGGAGCTATAGTTGGTCAAAATTGACTTTTTTAATTTTTTTAAATTTATTCTACTAAAATCATACAAAAACAAAAACACACAAATGAACAAAATTAGTAGAAGCGGGAGGGCTGAAGCATAGCTTATGGGGAGTAGCCCTCCCGTGCATCATCATTAGCATCAATATAATAATGGCATTTATTTCGTCAAAAACGTATAGAAATTAAGGAGTACAAAGAAATTAAAAAAAATGCATATATAAGTAATACTGGGAATATCCAATACTTGTTAGCTGGAGTAATCTGCAAATATAATTGTTTTTACTTTAGTTTTGAATTGTTGATGATTAGTAATACTTGAAAGGTCTGGGTGAAGTCCATTCCACGTTCTAACTCCGATTATGGATCAGCTGTGGGATTTGATGGTTGTTCTACTGGGCTTGCTACACAACCAGTTAGGATGCCTGGTTGGGTATTTCATGACTGTGGCTTGGAACTGCTTTTGAATGTTAGGAGGCATTTTGTTAAATGGACATGATTTACTGTGTATTGTGAACGTATTTTGAAGAATGCAGCTGCTTGCCAAAAACACGAGAATGCAGCTGTTTTGCGTCCTGACTGATGAGTAGAAGCTCTTTTTCACTGATTCTGTCAATACCTTACTCAATACATCGGTAAAAACAGATGCAACGTGTGATTTATAGACTGTAGCTTGTTGTACATTAGCTGGTGTGCAAGTGAGCGTATAGTAAGAAGATTCAGGGGGGACAGTGTGGCTGCACGGCGGATGATTGATAAAGGCAAAGGGGTCCTGCTGGTCAATACCTTTAATCAATGTGATTAGAATTCAGCTGAACAATATCCTCCGGTAGTTATTAAACACCTCAGTTCCACTGCGGCGAACACAATCTCCCTTCCGAAAGAGAAAGGCTTAACCAAGGAGACGGTGGCAGAAAGACAAACTGCTCCATTTGCATTCAGTGATGTACGATACAATATTCAGATAACAATGGATGTACAGAGGAGAGCAAACCAGGCATGACGGATGGGGACGGTGCGGTGCAGCATCAGATCAATTCAAGACAATGATTTTGCTCAGTTTTTCTGGACGTCTTTAGAATGAAACAAAGGGATGCTTTCGGTCACTTTCAAAGGTCACCTATTATCCAAAATCCACTTTTTCATGTCTCTTCTACATCAACATGTGTCCCCTCTTCTCCATGTCTCTTCTACATCAACATGTGTCCCCTCTTCTTCATGTCTCTTCTACATCAACATGTGTCCCCTCTTCTCCATGTCTCTTCTACATCAACATGCGTCCCCTCTTCTTCATATCTTTTCTACATCAACATGTGTCCCCTCTTCTTCATGTCTCTTCTACATCAACATGTGTCCCCTCTTCTTCATGTCTCTTCTACATCAACATGTGTCCCCTCTTCTTCATGTCTCTTCTACATCAACATGTGTCCCCTCTTCTTCATGTCTCTTCTACATCAACATGTGTCCCCTCTTCTTCATGTCTCTTCTACATCAACATGTGTCCCCTCTGTGGAAAGAGACTCTGAAAGTTTCAGGAACAAAGATTCTCTCTCTTTTTGTCCTGATCCATTTCTATAAAAACCTGTCTGAAAATGAGCTGATCAGATTTTGGCCACTTTATGATGTCATAACGATGTTTTGTCTTGTGTAACCATTAGCCAATCAGCAACCAAGGTAACCCCCCCCCCCCCNCCATTGAGTTCTTTATAACCAAATCTCTCTCAGAGGGGCGTGGGGAGGGGCTCCTTATTTTCATCTAAAGTAACAGACAGAGAATCAGCACTTTGGAAACAGGGCTGAAACAGAGGGGATTATGGGTAATGCTGCAATGATCTGTTTGGTGTTTCAGCCAATCAGAGACAGGCTCTGGATATATCTGAGACCTAAAATAAAGTAATGAAAAACAGTATAATAGGGGACCTTTAAAAGACCAGCTGACCTGCAGATGCAGAGGTCAAGACAAGAGGTCAGCTGGCTGTCAAATCTTCTCCGCTGTTAAGCTACGACTCAAGCATTCGCCGTTTATCCACTAATTCCACTCGTTGACCCTCGGCTCTCCTTTCCCGAGCCGCCCCTTTCTGCTAGTTAATTAGCGACATGGACAGTGCCTGCATTGCAGCAAAAAGAGGCCTTCATCCTTCATTCCGCTTTTATGGATAACTGTATTACTTATTTCAATTTCACAGTCTGTTAACACCCGAGTATATAAAGCCGGACAATGGCTACAACTCAAAGAAGTTCACATAAACAGAAAAGACTTCAGAAATATGGCTTTTGGATGAGAGTCTTGCAGAGGAGGACAATTGAATACATCAAACCAGATTTATTTTTACCCATATTTCCATGTTTATCTTGTCTCATCTGTGTTTCCTTCCTCCATCTGCCTGTTGATATAATTTGTCATCACTTCATATCTTTTGTTTTCCTTCTTTTATTGTCTTGATTACACCGCACCTGCTGCCAAAGCTGTCACGTCTCTTCCCTCTCATGGCATCTATGACAACAATCCATTTCGGTCAGACTTTTCCAGAAGCATCCACAATCATTTTAGTAAGACATCCCCCACTTTAGGTTATGTTTTGTATTCAGCATTGACGGTGTGTAAAAGCAAGTTCAGGATGAATATTTTTTTATGGTTTCAAGCTTTTTCTTAGCTTTTTCTTCATGCTTTTATGCCGTGATCCACCATCTCCCCAAACTGCCATATATTAGCTGCCAACTGCTTCTGGTACAAGGATGGTTTGAATTCAGATGCCACATTTTGCAGTGTGAACATGTGTTTAGTTTCAATAAAGAGGGTTTTCATTCGCATCCTCCATTTCTACTTCTAATTGAGAAACAAAGAACTGTTGTACATTCAATTCTTGGGCATTTAACAAAGACATTGCTGCTTCGTATTCAGCAGCAGATTTTGTCTACCCTACATGCCCACAGAAAGTCACAGTTGGCAGATTGCTGCCGGGCCCAGAGCTACAGTCGCTGATTATTTGGGCAGGATGTGTGAATAGCAATAACTGTGGCCTGAGGGTTTGTAGGAATGTTCAATCCACCCGGGGATCGCAGCAAAATCTATAAGTGATTACACTAGTACGGAGAGGCAGGAAATCAACAAATAACTAGCTGCAGCTGTAATGTACGATTGCATATAGAGTGCCTTTTGTACATGCTGCCGCTAATCATTTCTGTAAGAATATGGCGCCTAATGCGAATGAACCGAGGGCTGAAAGAAGGAGCGATTAAACCTCTAATACATTTACAGGTCTTAAGTCATTAGGGGCTTTTTAAATCGATATAATTAATTTGTCTCAGTGTTGCAGGTGTGTCCTGGAACAGGTAGCCGGGGGGGGGGCTAACCGGGCATGAAGACCGTGACGTGGCTCACGCCAACCGTGACAGATGTCTAATTTTTTACACTCCAGAGCTTAAATGTTAATTGCGGGCAATAACAATAAAGTTTATTGGATTATGCTGTGAAATTAAAAAAGTAGAATCAGGAAAGGGAGGAGGGAGGGAGAAGTGGAGAAGTGTATAACTGGCATGAGAAAATACTCGGGACGGAGACAATGTGAGGCATTGGTCGAGGAATGTGGGAAGGTAATAACACGTCATTTCCACCATTGTTTTTTGCAATTCCTGAGCTATGGTGGCTGAAAGCGCTACATTGGCCCAAAACACATGCAATGAGAAACGTATCCACCAACGCTTTCAAAAAGCGCTGCATAAACGAAACACTGCAAATATCATCACTTTTTTGTGTCCCTTTTTTCATCGTGTTAAGAGCTTTTTGTAGCGTTTTTTGTTGTTGCAGTGTTTCGTTTATGCAGCGCTTTAAGTAAAGAAGCGCATATTTTGTGAATTTGGTGAAGATTTTCATGTGTTTTGGCTCATTTGTGATTCCATATTTGCATTGTTTCTTAAACTGCCGCACGTTTCTCCATATGAAAATGTTTTGGGCTGTTTGCACCTGTCGGCCACCCGAAGAGCTCCGTATGCTTCATATGCAAATGAGCACTTGATGAATATTTGCCCTGAATAAATCTGAATCGTCTGGTTGTTATTTTGTTCATTTGTCGAAGGTGATGTCTGTAAATGGGAGCAATCAACCAATGTTACACACAAGCATAATTGCTTTCCAGATCCAGACCCCCATTCACAGTTTAATGATGTAATAATCAAAAACAACACCAAGCAGCCTGTCGTTTGGAAATGAAAAGACATTTTTAGCAACTGATATTTCACACTCCTTCTACACAAACAGACGCAAGCATAAACAAGGGGACAACGTAAAATTAACACGGTACAAAATAATCAAAGTTGGGCACTGGAGCGTAATATTAGAGCAGGGAGGGGGAGAATGTGATGTTGGTTTGTTTCTGCTTTGCTCTCTTGGTACAAGCAGCCCCGGTATATCAAATGTGTGTTTGTGTGTGTGTGTGTGTGTGTGTGTGTGTGTGTGTGTGTGTGTGTGTGTGGCTGCATTAAATATAAACTCCATCAGCTCCTCTCTGAAGAGATACATGTTTGTTGTCTACTTCCAAAACTGAACTCTCTCTCTCTCTCTCTCTCTCTCTCTCTCCCTCTCTCTCTTTAGAAATGAGGATGCAATAAACCACATGGCTGTCCCCCCCTGCTCAACTCCCCCTCCTCCCCCTGTCCTCAGCTCTGTAAGCCCAGAGGTGAAAAAACAGACTTTAACCAACACACACAAGCACACACACACACACACACACACACACACACACACACACACACACACACACACACACACACACACACACACACACACACACACACACACACACACACACACACACACACACACACACACACACACAGTAGTAAGAGAATGTGGCTAGCCTAGCTTAGCATGATGACTGGTAGCAATACAAACAGCTAGGGTGGATGTTTACACTAACACCAACACATGGAGAGCTCACTGATGAATGTGTTATTACATTTACAGTCTATGGATATATCTTGTTTGTTTTAAAAACAAAACACTTTTTAAGAAGCTTTTCACATATGAGGAAATTGCAGTGTTGTATTGGTGCATGATATAAACATAGTTAGATAAGTTAACATCAATAAATAATAATAATAATAATAATACAGCAATAAAAATGCAACAACATATTAAACAAATATCCACGAAACATAAGTATAGAACACAGTATCAAAGAATATAAGAACAATCAATATAGAATAGAAGATAAATATGAAAAACACAATAACAACATGAAACATGAGTATAGAAGAGAAAAACAAAACATATAAAAATGATTACAGAACAATATTATTATATAATAATAATAATAATGAAAAATGTGCTATATCCAAATTAA